ATCAATTTAATTCATGAGTAATGTATTTACTTCCGAATTTAGAGTAACAGTGGGTAATAACACTGATTAGCGATTTGGTAACCGAACTATAAATATTGACATATGTTCTCTGTTGTGTATCTCTTTGTGTTTGCATCTCTTCGAGATTATATACCTTGTATATTGATAACCCTCACAGTAAGGTCTGCCGCTCGTATCCAGGCAGACTAGTATATGTTTGGTGCATAATTTATATTAATAAATGTATCTCGTGTATTGAACCCTTGTGTGTGCGTTGTTAGTTGTTCTGACAATTGATTTTCTAAAAGCCCCAACGAACAACCTCGTGATTACTGCTACAATTAATAATTGTCTCAGTAAACCCATCAAACCACTACACATGTGACACCAAAAATTCTCTATATAATGGATTGACATTTTGAACTAATTTGATTTTATGCTGTCAGTGCTGGGTTGGGTCTGGCTTCTCAGATTAACAAGTTAATAGTTGTCAAATTCTTAAAATAAACCTATAAGTCTAGTTTTCTTTGTAACATTATGTTATGTATTCTTAAATTTAAAAACAGGAAAAAATGGAAAAAACAGGGAAAACAAAATTGCATATTTAAGGTACTGTATTTCAGAACTAAAACCACATGTATAGAATAGGATATTGTAGAAACAGATTTTAATATTGTAAAAGTTTCTGGACTTGTTTTAAGCCTGTTCACTGGTACCTGTATAAAACAGGTTCAGCTACTGAGCCATTTTTATGAGTCATGAGCCATTCGTGAGTAATTTACAACAGACAATATTGTCACGCCCCACACTCTCCCTAACAAATGGCATTGCATTCCCAAACCCACCGTTTCACAGTTTCATTCCTAATTGAACCCATCACATTTACACATGCTCTAGATTCTACAAATTCTCACTCCCAAATCAGTTATCCAACCACATCCCTTTCCTTTCAGTACTTAAAGTTCCCTCACACACCAATCTATGCTCACTATTAAGAAGCCTCCAGTAGAATTCTCTTGTGTGTGTGTTTCTAAGCCTTTTTGACTGATCTCTTGGTACCTAATCTTTGCTCCTGCCTTTTAGCCACACCTTTTGGATTTTGTTTTTGGATTGTCTTTTGGATTTCTCTCGTAACCGGACTCATTGCCTCCCTAATCGACTTAGCCCCTGGATTTCATCTTTTGGATTGTCCTATGCATTAGGATCCTCCTATTCTACCAGTTGGTTTTCCTGACAAATATCTTAAACAAAACTGTGAAGGTAACACTGATTTTAAATTTAGTAATTTACAGTTGGGGGGGTGGGGGGAACACAGCACAGTGAAAGTGAAAGTCTGCATAGCTGTTCTGTGTTTGATTCCAGAGTAGGGCCCTCTGTGTGTGGGATTTGAACAGTCTTACCATGTTCACGTGGATTTTCACGATGTTCCACACATCCCAAGTCTCTGAAATATCTTTGTGAGTGAGTGTGCCCTGTACAGGGTTGTGCTCTGTACTAACTGAGAGGGCTTTGTGTCAGTATGACCCAAAGCAGAAATAAGCAATTTTCTTAAGAGACACCTTTCTAGGGGATTAATTAATGATTAATGAAGCCTGGATTGAATTTCTGTTAAACTGAAACTCCATTTTCCTTATCAAGTAATGTACAGATAATTTCCTGTTTTTTAGGATCATCTATCTATATTGATGGTGCCACAATTGTGCAATGAAGTTGCTGGCTGATTTTATTTTGTTGCACTTTAGGAACAATGGCTTTACAGTACCACACAACTGCCACAACTTTATTGCAAAAAATACAACAAAAGTGTTTGTTACCTAAAAAGCTTTGTTACCATCTATCATATCCTCTATTAAAGCAGAGAGTGTTCAGTGTGTAACAAACAGTGTATTTCCAATGTGTGTATTTAAAGTTTCCATCTGCTGTCACATTGTGTATTTTATGTAGCATAAAGTTGAAAGCATCTTACTAATTAGGGATAATCATATAGTTAGTACAAAGCTTATCCCCAAACGTCCTCATGCTGGTTTCATCTAATTTTCTTATCTTTCTTAAGCTGCAGCATAGAATACATTTAATATATTGACCTCCCACAGTTTTTCATATTGATTTATTTTCATTTAAATATTCTGTTGTTGGTAACAAGGACAATACATTTCAAATATAAAATCTATTAATAATAATATATTAAAATATATTTAAATGCTCCCTTACGACACTCTATAGGTAAAAATTTAAATATACAAGTAATAGGTTTTCTCCATTTTTTTTCAGCATGGAATAAGCAAATTGAACATTTTGGTCATGGAGCCTTCTTCAGGTGCGAGAAAGACAGGGCAGTAAGCAAAGGTAATGTAGCGAGAGAGGAGGAGCAAGAGGTGGGAGCAGGGGACAGAAGGAGAGGCCAATCAGGAGGTATGAAGTCAGGATAGGTGAAGAGAAATGTGAAATGAAACCTACAAAGAATAGGGAGAATTTAGAAGAAAAGTAGTCTGTCATTAAGAGAAGGGGGAGATGTCATTAAGAGAAGGTGTGATCCTAGCTGCAGGATAATTTTGGTTTCTGCAGTCTTTCTGATGTATGAGTTCGGAAAACCGTCTTTGAGAACACAGACAGAGAGATTAGAGTGGTCATGGCCGTCAGAGGTGAAATGAGAAACAATGGGCTTGGAGAGATCTTTAATCTTCACAGCCCTAACATGTTCTCTGAAGTGGTCTCTGAGTCTCCTTCCTGTTTCTCCAATGTAGATGGCTGGGCATTTACTGCAAGAGATACAGTAAATAAGGTTGCTGGAGGTACAAGATGCCATCTGGGTGATGCGGAATTGTCCTGAGGGGCCTTGAATGAGTGTGGTGTTAGATGTGTACTTGCAGGTAATACAGCAAGCTCTTTGCTAGGGAAAGTGCCTGGTGTGGATGGTTGCTGAGGGCAGTCAAAGGAGCTGTGAACAAGAAGGTTACGCATATTAGGTGATCGGCGATATGAGATAATGGGGTGGTCAGAAAAGAAGGCCCCAATGGAGGGATCATCCTGTAGGATGGAAAAGTTGTCGTTAATAGTCCTGGGGATAGGAAGTGTGTTGGGGTAGTAGGGAAGCACACAAAGGAATGCAGTTGTTACGGTGGGAGTTCCTGAATGTAAATATATGTTTATAAAAACATTAAAACACTTATTTTATGTAGTGCAGCTAAGGAGAAACAAAATCAGAACTAGAAATGACTAGTTGGTCTTTGGGTGTGCTGAAATGTGTAGTTAATTGCACAACTACCTAACAAGGAAGTAAACTTAAAACAAGTAAACAAACTTAAATAATACACCAGCATGGATTAAACAAGTCAGCAGGTCAGCAGGTCATATCCTCCTGTATAAAAATGAAGAATTGTGTTCCTAGTCACCACATAATCAAAGATCACTGTTTTACTTACAGTAACAGTCCAAATCAGCACCATGCCCCTGTGTGTGAAACACAAGTTGGTTGAGGACTTTGAAACTATTAAAGAATTCTGGGCAAAATATGGAGAAGATTTACAGGTAATGTACAATGCTTTTTTATATATCTTGCAAAAAATAAATTCTCGCAACATAAAAGTAAAATAAAACATGCATATTGGAACCTTTTACTGCATCCATGGCATTGTATTGGAAGAAATGTAAAACATTTTACTTTCTGTTGAAGCTCTGGATTTTAATATATGTACTATTTTTGTTTTCCATGCTAGAATATATTACCATTCATATATTTTTCATAAATAATCAAATGCTTAAAAGTGCATTTACACTCTTTTTCATCCAGTATACTACATTTTAAAATATGCTGGGTATTATACTATGTTCACATTAATGAGATTGTCACCCAATCAGTGGTTCCAATCAATATTTAAGCATAGCCTTAAAAGACGTATTGGACAATTTGTGCTATAAATTATATACATACAGTATAAGCGTTTCATTTGTGTAATTTAATTTGATGACAGAGTATCTGCTTTAAAAACTGACTGCTGACAGAGTGAATTTTGAAATGACTGTACAGTATGTTTTGTATTTAATAGATAAACCATATAGTTCCATCAGTCACAGTATGGATAAGTGTGAGGCATGCATGAAGCACAGCTACAAAACAGTGCTGCCAATGCAGACTATTATGTATCGAATTAATCTGTTTGAAGTGTAATTCATGTAAAGAAACAGGTTAAGAAAGACTTTCTGCTGTCTGCTGTTTTCCAGCAGTTTGGAAAGTTTGGCATTTGGGGAGTGATTCACAAAACTTTGAAACTGTCTCAAACTGTCTCTGGGTATTTTAAAAATCATTCAAAATCCTTTTATACAAAATTTGAATTTTCCATGCAGTGACAGAATAATTTTGTGTGCAGCCTGAAGCTGAAAAATTCAAGCAGAAACCTGAAGTTATTGAGCAACCAGATTATCTGCTTTATGTTTCTCAGAGAGAATATGCAACAATTGACCTTTGTAAAGGTAGGATCCTGAAATGTATTTTATATATAAAAAAAAAACGTTTTTTACATATAAGTTTACATTCCATGAATCTGCAATTTGTGAGAAAGAGGTAGACTTTGTTGCTGTGATTTATATTGTTACTTAGGTGTTCTTAATTGCACCACTTCTGTTGAGTTATGTTGAGAGATGGTGCTCCAGCCGTTATGCTTTGTAAGAGATTACAAAACATTTGTTTATTGTCTTTTATGAAAAAGTGTCAGAATCATCATTTACAGTCAAAACAGGAGGATTTTATGAGGGCTTAAGCATAAGAAATAAAGTAGAACAAAAACACAAGAACAACTAAAGTTAGATGATCATAAAGGAAAGAAAATACATATTGTATAGCCCCATTGCAGGAGAAGTGACTAGAGATGATTTGGCAGTTTAAGATGGTCTGAAAGAGTTGGAAAAAATTGAGATGGGGAAAGAAAGGGAGGAGAGAGGGGGTGGTGCTGGGGAGTATTTTATATCCATTGATGAATGTCATTTAAAAGCAGATGACAAGATGTGAAATCACTTACCACTTACAATTTACTCAAAGCTTTAATTTTATGAATAACTTCAAATACATGAGTAGTGACCTGTGCTGTGGACTGATATGGTAGCTTGGTCATATTTTGGAATAATAGCTTTTTTTTATAAAGTGGACATTTTGTTACATTAAAAGATTTAATGCCAACCTTGAAATATGACCCCAAAGTACAACTGAACCATCTAGGAATGTTCGTTTCTATGCTGAGTCAACAGCATATATCAGGTTCTTTAAAGACAATTTAATAATATTATAGGAGACAGGAAGTGTTAACAAAACTAAAACAAACAGCTATTTTTCATGTTTATATCCATCTTGAATGGATTACAAATAGTGCTAATCATTGTTTTACTATAAGGTATATACTATAGTTTAGAAAAGCACATAACAAATACAGGGAGAAAAGAAGCCAAACAAAGACTGAGGGGCAAAGAACATTTTGTGATATTTTTTTCAAACTTCTACAGGACCTGTGACTAGAATTGGAAGTGATGAGGCAACCACCTGCCACATTATTGTCCTCCATTGCCCAGGTTAGTTACTGCTTAACTGGAGCAGACAAGTAAAAGTGGCAAGACATTATTTTTAAAAAGGAATCTACAAGAATGTGAAAGCAATGCATTAACATGTCCTATATTTTCTGAAAATACTTAATAATTTAGTGTTTTTCTTTATTCTTTCATTGCTTTACATTCTGACAGGACTTTTCTGACATTTGGCTAATTAAGCCTGCTATGTAGTTAGTACCTAAGTAGTCCAAGAATCTAATTAGTCATTTCTTGAAAGCAGGGACCCTTTGGTAATACAAAGAGTTTATACTAAAGGTAAGAATGAGATCAATTAGCTACAGTACTTGCAACTTAACAGGAGATGAATGGTCTCCTTTGATTTATATCCTTTTTTAATGTCCTTAGATTTTTTAATTTCTTGCTCAAATTCACTTTATTATACTCAAGCAAGAATTTGTCATCTTATACAAAAAATAGATATGTTGCTTCACCACCAAGCCGAACTCTCTACAGAAAAAACAGTTCAGAAAATGTCTCACATATGTAGTAGTTTTCTTGTTCATTTAGTCAGGAGCCACCTTTATCATCTGCACACCATTGTGCATATTTTACTGTTATAAGTTTTCCTATCGAAACTTTTCCAACATATTTTTCTGCTTTACAGGTAATTGTTCAGCAGTGCTATATCTCACACAACCCAACTTCATATGTGTAAAAAACAAAACATATTTGGCATTAAGCTGTATAATTTGCTTGAAGAGCTCACAGCCTTCTATCCCTCTGATAGATAAAATAATATAATAGTTGTCTTAAACCTGGACATTTCACACTGCCAATATTTAGTACTAGCTTACTGCTCTGCTCTTTTTCAGGCACTGGCAAGGTCAGCTTGGCTCACATTGATGGCTCTAAAGTGGGTGTCGGAGTGAAATTTATGGTTGAAGAGATGAAAAAACAATGCAAGGATTTCTCACAGTATGTCATTATAAATAACAATCCTTATAATAGTCCTACATGTCGGTATTCTAAGACGAAACAGTAACTGTAGCTAAGGAGTATCATACATGCAGAAAGTACATTTCCTTGCACATTTCTGGTGATGGCAATCATACTCTGGATCTTGCTTAGTTAGAGAGATCTGATGAAAGTATCCATCTATCAATGTAGTAGTCATGATACAACCTGGACAGGACACCAGTCCATCACAGAGTACACAAACACAGACGCACACACTCACAGCAGGAGGAAACCCACACGAACACAGGGAGAGCATACAAACTCACACAGATAGTACTAAAGGAATGTTATAAATTTTATAAAAGCTCTTCTTTCATTGTGTGACTGTACAGTAAAGCCGGGACTCTACCGGTTTGTGTTCCAGGTGTAGGTCTGTGCAGTAAAGCCAGAACTGTACTGGTTTGAGCAGTATCCAGATGGGGGGGTTAACTAGCCCTGTGGGAAAACTACTAATAGGCTGGTGTGAAGTTACTGTAAAAAATTGTAAGAAATGTTTGATTTTACAATTAAAGAATATGCCAGAAGCTGAAATGAGAGCCTTGCGTGAACTAATAGATTTAAACTAGGAGACCCCTTTGTAGCCTCCTTAAATTTATCTCAGGATTTAAATAAAAGAGAAGTAATCTTACAGTGTACAGTAAATGGTGTCCAGGTTCCCCTATTGGGGGACACAGGAGCAAATTTGTCCTGTTTATCGACTAAAACAGCAAAAAGTTATGGTGAAAAGTTTTTACACGTGGCAGGAGGCTACAGGAGTAGGGGGGCAAGGGTTGTTTAAAGGAGATGCAAGCTGTCACAATATGCTTGGGGAAAGATATACAGTTTCAACTACAGATGTGGGTGGGGGACACACCAGATTTATTGGGCTGGAATGCACTTGAGCATTTATAAGGAATTACTGTATGAGACTGCATTTATGTGAACTACCTCAATAGAGCTCTGAGGTATTGTGATTGTTCTGCCTGATGAGGGAATCCATAAGGCTAGGCTACTCCAAGTATTAGATCTTCTGATGGGAAAAGATATATAACCAACTACATAATAAAGCGAGGGTGAATTCCTTCTCGGAACAAACTCGCCTGGTGACGAATTGGCTTAAGGAGGGTAGTGCAGTCTAAGGACAGAATTGCCTTGACCCCTGCAGCAGAAACCGTTTTTAATGATTTGAAACAAGCTTTCTTGCAGGCACTGGCCCTGGGCTGGATTCCCTCAGACGGATCATCTGTATGTAATCTGTAAGTAAGTAAAAGAAATGGGTTGTGAGCTGCTGTGCTGGCACAGGTGTAACGAACAGTTCTTTCCGGACCCTATGCGGACGACACAATCCGAAGAAGTGGGGAAACACTAGGAAAAAGTCATGCAGGAATACGGGGCTGAAAACAGGGGGGGCGTGTCCAAAGTGCGCGGATGCACGGGGGAGGTGTGGCCGAGGCAAACAATCCAAAAGTAATCCATAGAGGGAATCCAAAAACGCAAGAAAGTCAATAGCCAGGTGATCCATCCAAACAAGGAATTAAAAACACGAACTGGGTCGGAACCGGCGGACAAGGAACAGGAACAGAGGTTAAAACCTTAACGGGACCAGGTGCTTCCAGGTCCCGGACTCACACGGTGCGGAAACCAGATGTAGAGCCAGGCTGAATGTCAGCGCCTGGCTTTTAAGGAGGGCTGGGAAAAGGGGTCAGGTGCACAGAATTAAGTCTGAAGTGAAAGGGCTGGAGCACCCTTAAGGAGGAGGGACTATAATCGTGACAACAGGAGCATGGAGGTAGGCATTGCCCGGTGGGTTATCATTCAGGACCCCTCAATGCGGTGGCCAAGGGTTCGTGTTTACATGTTGTGCACGCTACCTGCCTGGCTGTATAAACCTCTGTGATCGCCAAACACTTGATGACGGAGATAAGCCCTCAGTGGGGACTGCCCTGCCACTTGTATTATGAAAAAGTTACACACTTCACAGGGAAGGTGTGTCAGGCAGTGGCTGTGTTGTTCGGAGTGAGATGGGACCTACATTGCCCCCATCACCCTCAGCTTACAGGAACAGTGGAACTAAGGAACAGAACTCTGAAAGATCAACGAAACATCAGATTGAAGGAACTGCGTGGGTAGCTGCTCTGCCTGCAGTCTTGTGTAACCTGAGGGCTGGATCAAACAGAACTGTGTAACTGAGCCTGTTTGATATCATCACGGGCCAACCAACGAACCTTCCTGGATGGCCAAATTTGGATAATGGATAGTTGAATTTGCTATCTAATTCTCTTTTGCAGTATTGTAGGCTGTTAATTGAAGTGGTGCATGGGGCTGGTGAACAGGTGCTGGACAGTTGGGGACCTCCAGTAGAGGGAAGACACAACCTGATACCTGGCGAGTGGGTGCGGGTAAAGAAGATATCCTGCCAGATGTTGCAACCCCGCCGAGGAGGGACCATATCAAGTACTACTGACTTCCAACTCTGCCATCTGAGTGACAGGATGAGATTGCTGGATCTACGCATCGCACTGCAACCGAGCCACTGCACCAGAGACTGAGTGAACAGAAATAATTATGTAACTGTTTCTGTGTCTGTCGGGGGGGGCTGACAGTGTGCCTGTTAAGCGTAAGGAACGTTACACTAATAATGGGGAATATGGAATAAATACTTTCTTGGTGTTGTCATATCTATCAGCCACAAATAATAATCAGCGCTCATGTTGGGTTTGTATTGCTATACAAGATGCTCATAGGAGTAATCCCTTTTGATAGAGGTGATTATTTAGGTTTATTGGTATGAGTAAATAGTTCTGCTTTTCGTCTGAGTGTACCTCAAATGTATTAGAATGGAATTAACCGTATGCTCCCCGCTATAATCATGGTTTTAGGCAATCTTCTATTAGGGTGATAAGCAGCTGTATGTACTGTAGTACTCATATTCCAGACAATTCTGCAAATATCACAATTACAATCCTGACGACTGGGAAGTGGGAAAAAGGCTGCAGTCTGTGTTAGGAGCCTGGCGAGGATCACTGAAACATTTTTTTTATGGTCTAATGCTACTAATTATTTTTATTTTATGTATTCACTGTCTTAAAGCTGTATGTACCAAAGTAACTAACTCTATTATAATTCAATATAATCATGAGGAGGACAAGAATCTCATTGTTTAGAACATAGTGGTGTGAAAACAAATATGTTCTGAAGGAGGGACTGAAGGAATGTTATAAATTTTATAAAAGCTAACAAACTGCTTGTCCTTTAACTTCCTAACTGCTTATAACCCTGGCAAGTGGAAACATACCACGGGGCATCTTTAGGTCAGTGGAAAAGTACAGCTCGTGTCTTAAATGTAGTAAAAAGTGAAGTCGAATGTCTTGTTTTGCGAATGTAAGCAATAACGAAAGTCCTGATAAGGAGACGTTCTCCGCTACCCAGGCTTGGTAATGATTCATTTTAGGGATTAGGTAATCTATGTCAAAAGTAGGAAGCTTGTCTGTTACTGTGTATAAAAAGCACTGAGCAACATCTTTTGGAGAGACTAGCTTTTGCAAGCATCTCTCCCGTGTGCAAACGAATAAACAGCTCTTCTTTCACCAACATCCGAATTCTGTCATTTTAATGTTTCTTCAGTACCCAGGTCTAGAACTGAACCCAAGACCCTAGCAATACAAGCCAGCAATGCTAACCACTGTGCCACCCTCTGATGAAACCATGCTTCAGAATTCTGCAGCTTGTCAGACTTTAAAGAAAGTGTATTTTTTACAGCAGCCTGGACCTCTACATGGCTGGGGGATTCATTGATGAGAGGGGGATTTCCCATGACAACACCATGAAACTGCTTCGTGAGTGAAACCTTGCTTAACATTTGTTACAGGCTGTTACAGTGTACTTCAAATTAGAATCTTATGGGATCATTAACTTTGATGTAAATTGTAAATTTTACTTTTGAATTGTTCCTATAAGTATAGCAAAACTACATTAAATCAAAGGTGCATGTTTTTTTCATTAAAACTGTGGTGGATTGCTTATCTTCATAGATTTATTTCATGATCCACACATCTCACAGATCTAAGGGAAGGATTAGTGGAGTGGATGGTTCAAAAGTGCACAAACAAAATCAAATAAAAATATCAAACCATGTGCTATTTGCGTCATACAATGCAGACTTACAGAGGAGCACACAGGCTGGGGTACAACCTGGACAGGACGCCAGTCCATCACAGGGCACACACAGACACACAGGGGCAAAATACACATTTTAAAATACTTAAGTATCTCCCTTTCTCACTTGTGTAACTGCAGGTGAATTTATGAAGCAAGACTGCCAAATTGAACTTCAGCTGGCCTGTGTGTCAGGTAATGCTGCAGACCCAGAAACCATGTGTAAATGTTTTCATAGGGAACCTGGAGATTGGTCTCTCAGTCTGCCTAAAGGTGGTCCAAGCCTTATTTTTCCCTTTTTTTTCTAGAGATGAATGATGTTGTCAGAGAGGGGAATCACTGGCCAGTGGTATCTGGTGTAGGTAAGACCAGAAAAGTATAAAAGCCATGAATACAGACTCAAAAGACATGCAGAATGATTGAAACCAATTATCAGTCAGCATTGAACTTGAGGAGAAACAGAAGAATTGAATGTGTCAAGAAGGATATGTAAAAACTGTGTAAATGTTAAAATGAACTGCACAATTACTTTCTAAATTCTTGAACAGTACGTATAAGGTAACATTACACTGTCAAACTCAGACTGGGACCAACTTTCATCCCAATGGCAACCTCAACAATTGCACGAGCTCACAACCAACTACTGAGCATGTGCACAATAGGCAGAGGAGCCTGTCAGTCAGATCTACATTTTTTATAACAAAGTAGGTCTTCATCAGTTTAACAAATTGCTTATTAAATTTATTTCATTTATTCTGCCAGTGCTCTCAGGATTCTCCACTTGCAGTTCACCGTTCGTTTGCCCAGTGTCATCCCATCTTCTAGCACTTCCAGCATTTTCCACAGTGGTAGCCTCATCCTTTTTAATGACATTCCTCTCTCAGTTTTACCTCAGTCCCTCTCGCTTAGTTTCAGGCAGTCTATTACTTCAGCCCTTTACACCACATTACCTGTCTGCCCACATTTTCTCTCTCTCTTTATTTTCAGAAGTACCCTAAATTCTCCACTTGGGCTTCACCCTGTCTGCAGCATTTCTTTCTTAACTAAAGCTGCAGCATGACACTGAGAATGAGTATCAGAGACTTGGGCCACTCTGTACACCAGTGCAGCTTTTGTCTGTAGAACACCTGAAAATTGAAAGACAAGATTGTCTTCAGTTTTGATGTGATTTCAGCCACTGAAGGAGAAGCTGTTATATAAGAATTGAGTGAAAGATCTCAGCAAATCACTTCATATTTGCTCCAGATTGTATCCAGGTTTTCTTGGCACATTAAAATGTCATGGAGAGGGTAAGACTTTATTCAGAAATGTATTTTTGCTTTGAAGCCAAAGTATGCCACCAAGCAATTATAGTGGGTGCCAGGAACCTTTTCCTCCCTGCAACAGGTTATTTTAATCTCTCAGAACTACCAATATATCCACAGACCAAACAGTTATCATTTAAAATATCATATTTTATTACAGTATTCTGATCTTCCCATCACATAAACATAACACAGCCTTCCTATAACTACACACCCAATGCACATAACATATGATATGACTCACTCATAGAGTAGTCAAGAGTTTCAGTTGCCAGAACAAATGTCCCACATGATCAGTCTGGCACTGCTTCTCTCCCGAACCTGCCTGTGTCTCTTTAAGCCTCAGTGAAGAAACAATGAAATTGCAGGCATTCGTCTCATTCCCAGGCATTCTGATCAATGTGCTCCTGATTTCCCCCTTCCAGCTTCTTTGTCTCTATGACCACTTTTGGGTAAAGGTTTAAGGAAAATGATGTTTTGGGTTTTCCTCCACTGCTCAATAACCCTAGTCTCTAAATCAAGTTCTCTCCTAGGTCCAAACAACTGCTATCCCTCTTGCCTTCACCAAAAGTCCTTAAGTTCTCTGAATGGGGCTATTTAAAGTCCACCTAAATAGGTTAATGTTTCATCCCCAGAGGACGTGGAAGTGCCCCTGTGATGTCTTGGGTGGAGGCAGAGCTAACTGCTCAGGGCTCATTTAGGAACTGGCTGAGCTAGATGGGTGAATTTGCACCCTGTTCCAGGTCACAGGCACAGTCAAAGCTGCCTTGAAACCCCACCTGCCCCTCCAAACGGTGTGGTAATTACCTGACATCTGTGCTAAGTGGCCTTTTGGTCAGGGTAAGAAGTTCAGAGACCAAGGCATTGGATTAACACTTGGGTGACACTGCCCATTCAATCAGCCCCAGACACCTTTTGTCCTACACCCATTATTTTTCACTCTGTGACAACAATGTGGCAGAAGAACTAAACCAAGGGGACAATTTAAGCAATTAAGGTCACACAGTGTGAAAATGACTCAATAACAAGGATAAAAAAAAACAGTTTACATCTTACCTTACCTGTAGGCATCTCACATCTGCCTACAAGAAAGAATTGCAGCTCTCATCACCAATCGATTCAAATAGTTTGTTTTTCCTTTACATTCATCCTCTTTCTAGGAGTGAAGATGGATGGTAACTCTTTTCACATCTATCGAGCTACATTTCCTGAAAAGGTTCCTGATATCACTCTGAGAGGAGCAAGACTGACAGTTGATATGATGGTATAAAATTCCGCATTGTAGTGCCGTCTGGATAATCTCTGAAGCTGCTCAATAAGAAACAGTAACATTTCGCAACCCCCACACATTCTGAAACACAGAATCGCAATGCATGTAGAAAAGCACTGTGTTTTAAAATCCCGGAGGATATTGTGGACGTGTAGTACAGTGGGTCATGTCGACCACAGGTTACTACAAATTATTAATTCAGTCAATATCCTTAAAGGGAAGTGTCAGTATTCTCAGAATACCCTTTTTTATAGCCTGATGACTTATCATTTGTTTCCATTAGAGTGTGACATTGGTGTTTATTTTATTTCAAAGTCACTGTGCACTGAAATTCAAAGAGGATTTAAAATGATCTTGGAGGAAATTACAGATATTAATTGTGGTATTATTTTCCAAAATAATGAAATAGCAGGTTTTGCATGAAAAATACCTGCATAGATTATGGTATAGTGGGAAGTATCTTCTCCATCTTCTTTTGCCTGCAATGACTGCTCAGAAATAGGAAACAAAATTGATTTGAAGATCTGAATTGACAGGTTGGACACGGATAGACACGGATAGTGAAAAATTGGTTGATTTTGAAATCTAAATTAAAACATATTTTAGAACTGGAAAGCTATTTTGCCATCAGAATGCGTGTTTTGTGTGATTGGCTTTGATTTACAGTCTGGATCCCAACTATGATTCACCAGTCATAATGCACAGGCATTGTCTTAAGCTGCTCAAAGCTATATCTTACACTGGTCAGCAGCCTGTATCATCGTACAGTCTTTGTGCTCTAACTCTGATTTTAAAAGTTTGTATTGTTAATATGTGGTATTATATTTGTATGAATAGAAGTCTGGACAATGTTGGGGCACTTTAGAAACTATTGGGGCAGTTAATAACTAAAACTTTGTTTTCCAAAAACCTTTGCAGAAATTGTTTTAGTAACATTATACTGTTCTTAAATGCAATGAGTACGGAGAGTTCATAGATTTATTTCTGTGGATCAAACATCGTTTAAGAAAGAGAGCACCATTTATATTTATTTTTTGCTCATTTGAGGCTTACTTCCTAAATATCACCTAAAGCCTATTGGTAACATATTGGTAACCTATTGGTAACATACATGGTAATATGTATGTGTAGAAAAAGGCTTTAATGTTTTAAGTTAAAAGTTCTTTGGTATAAAAAAATGCACATCTATATATATATTTATTTTAGGTGAAACTGTTATTCATATTCATCAGCAAAATTATATAATACATTTGAAGAGATTTGTATTCATATTGATTGAACATGTATTTATAGAGGTTTTGTTTTGTATAATATCTTGATAAAATATACTGTAAAATATAATGATTTAAGTAGCTACAATAAAGACGATTTCATCGGAATCAGGAGAAATCATCAGTCTTTTACAGTAGTATAATGGTGTTGACAGAAAGGCTTGTACCAGTGCTTTGCATTTACTTGTAGTTGCAGAAGAATATGTTGGAATATTTCTTTTTATGTTTATTCTGTAGATGCGTAGAGTGTACGACACTGAGACGGACAGGCTGATAGTTGGACCTTACAACTTCTATGAACATATGTTGAAGACTGACGATGACAGCCGTGATTTGACAGATGGGGAGATAAGAAGGGTAAATTTGATCTGTTAATATCTGTTAATATATAAAGCCAAGACTGACATCTAGATTTGATTTTTGCATGTGTCCTCACACACTTTTAATCTTTGTTATCCATACATGAAATAAACCCAGAAATTCTATTTCTGTGTATGTGTGACAATAGAAATGTGGTTTAAACACAATAAGGTATTCATTTTTTATCTTTGATTACAAGTATCCCTTCTGAACATATTAAAGAAGGTATAAGTATTATCCTTATTTTGTTCTACAACAATGACTTCAATAACAATAATTCTTAAATATCAACGTAGTAAGGAACAGCTTCACAGAAATAGGTCCACTTTGGTAGTGTGAACAAATATTATACAGTACATTTCACTTGGGAAATTTAGAGTTTCACAAAGATATTCACAAAAGGGATCTCAATGTTTATTAAGATGCCTCTATTAAGGACTATATAGGAATGAATTAAAAATAAATTATAGCATAAGGAGTGGACTTTATACTCAGGCACATTATGATTAAGTCTTACAATGCAGTAATCAGACTTTACTTAAAGTAATGGAAATAGTTCATAGAAAGATTACTGATCTCCAGGGTCTGCTTTCCTGTCATATAAAGACAGATAAAGGAGTTGAATATCTTTAAGTTTTTGATGTAATACCAGTTTTGTCAATAATTCGCATTCAACTACAGAGCTCTAAAATCACTCTTTTTTTAACTTCCAGCTCACCAGACGTTCACCCATATTCTTAATAACCCCTCTAAGGAGTTAACAGCTAGCAAAATAGCAGAAAAGGCTTGAGTATAAAAGGAAAACAATGGGTTTCTTTAATCACATGAACTACATGTGATTTGACTGATTAGATGTGTGGATAATTGATTTGAGCCTGGGATTGTCTACAAAATAAGCAAGTAGGGCTCTGCAGCTACAGAAAGGTGTCAGTAATATCATTTGCCTAGCAATTATTTATTTAGGAATTGACAATTTAAAAGGTAAGTGCCACTTGACATATAAATACAACCATAATATGACAACAATTCGAATATTTTGATATAATATAATTTACATGATATCCATTATGTTTTCATATTTTCTGCAGGGTTTTTCAACCTCACCTCTTGTTGAAAGGCCAGAATTCGTCCAAATGATAAAGGACCACTACAAGTATCTTGCAGACCACTTGAAACTACAAATAACACCCAGTCTTCCTATTGGATATGTAATGAACCATGGAAAATGGATTCCATGCACTAACTAAATAACACATTATAAAAGAAAGTTAGTGACACGACTGCATTTACTTCCCAAGTCCCTCAACTAAAAGAATGTTACTAAAATTCAAAGGGCGATGGGTCAGTCCACTTAATGTTATTGATCGCAAAAAATAAAAAAGAATGTTGATTTCTTTCCTGCTACATTTACAATAATAAAAATTTTGAAAATAACTTGTTTTAATTACGAAAAACTAATTGATGGTTTCTTGATAATGTATGCTTATCGACGGTTACAACTTATAGTGAAGGGACTGAATAAATCTAATAGCCCATATACTACAGTCATTAATATTGATTTTACAGCTGATGTTGATTTGCTGATTGATTACTGTTGATTGTCTTAGTATTGCTCACTCTTGTTCATGTCTGTATAATCTTGTATCATTCTGGTCTAAGTCTCAAGATACAGTATACGAAGCTGAAATCCCACATTCCCCACAAGAACATGTGTGTCAAGATGTCAAGAAAGAGATAACACAGCCTTGATTGAAGAGTTCAGAGGGTGGTGGACCAGAAGATGTTGTACAGCAGCTAAGGGTTGGAAGAGATTTCATTAAAAACCACCTGTTCAAGAGGACACGAAAGTCATCATCTCTGAGTCCCAGGATTGCTGTGGTGACTTCCTTAATTCGTCATAAGTTCCTGTGATGAAGATGAGTAAGACTAGAAGGGGAGTATTATGGGGTTAAATCTGTGATGGAAATAAATTCACTACATCGCTGTCTCCAGACTTTCCTGGCTGCTTGCCTCCAACCCTGACAAACTGGTGTCAGAGTGGAATTCAAACCCATGCCTCCACTTCATCCTTCAGACAATAATACACAGGATATAGTTAAGTTGGCCCCAGTGGTAGCTACTGCACAAGCAAAGGTGCCCCCTGAATATGCTCCATTATGTTAACACCCTTTCAGAATCTGTTGGGGTGGGAGTACATCTTACAGGCCCTATGCCCTATACAGATGTACCTGTATCAAATTTATAGGAGGGAGATTAGGATGGGCAGTACCATGCAGGGCAGCAGGACAGTGCAGATGGAGCACCCTGAGAGAACCCAACTGCATACAGCATATAACTGTAACGAACAGTTCTTTCCGGGCCCTATGCGGACGACACAATCCAAAGTAGTGAGGAAACACTGGGGAAAAAGGTCATGCAGGAATACGGGGATGAAAACGGGGGGGCGTGTCCAAAGTGCGCTGGTGCACTGGGGAGGTGTGGCCGAGGCAAACAATCCAAAGGTAATCCAGACGGGGAATCCAAAAACACAAGCATAAGTCCATGGCCAGGCGATCCATCCAGGAGATTAAAACCAGGAACTGAGTGGGAACAGGCAGTGGGAACAGGAACAAGAACAGAGACTTAAAAATATGACGGAGCCAGACTCATCAGGACACAGGCTCACACGATATGGAAATCAGATGCAGAGCCACGATTGGCGACTGCATTTGGAGTTTAAAGGGAAACAGGAAGGAGACTGGAACAAGGGGCAGGTGCGGGGAATAGGGCAAACAAGGAAGAGCCGGAGTGCCCTTAAAGAGGAGGGACTATAATCGTGACAACTACAATGCCACAGGAAATGAACCCAGGGCCCTGGTGCTGCAAGACAGCAATGCTAACCACTGTGCCATCCTTTAAAAACCTTTATGCAAGTACTTTTCTTCATGTAATACATGTTAACAATCAACATTTGGCATTTTTTTAAAGATTGTAGTACACTATTTTAGAATTATCTGAGAAATTGTCTAAGAGAGCAGTTCAAGTGGGTAGCTGCATCAGCATGCATAAGCTGCAAAGGAACAAGTACTGTAATAGGTTTATTCTATGCTGAAAAGAAAAGAAAGAGAACACAACATTTCGGCTGCAGAGCCTTCTTCGGGTAGGGCAGTCAGCAAAGATAATATAGTATGGGAAAACAAAAGCCAGGAGAGAGAAGGAGGCGGGAGCAGGGGAGAGGCAGAGGGGTCAATCAAGTGGTGCGAGGTCGAGAGACATGAGGAGAGGTGTAAAATGAAACCTACAAATGAATAGAGAGAATTAGAAGAAAACAAGTCTGTTGTTGAGAGAAGGTGGAAGGTGTAAACCCAGTTTCAGGATAATTTTAGTTTCTCATGTCTTTCTGCTATAGTACTTAAGAACCCTACTTTGAGAATGCAGACGGAGAGATCAGTGTGATCATGGTCATCAGAGGTGAAATGAGAAACTATGGGCTTGGATACATATTTGAGATATGATACATATGAGATGATAAGGCGGTCAGGAAAGAGTTCCCCAATGGAGGGATCATCCTGTAGGATAGGAAAGTTGTTGTTAACTGGTCCTGGGGATAGATAGTGTGTTAGGGTGGTAGGGAAGCACCAAAGATGGTCCGAGGGCCGTTTTTGGCTCAGGTGAGGGCCCTGTCAATAACACGGGTGGGGTATCCTCTGTCGATGAAAAAAGAGTGCATTTTGAGTGCTTGGTTCTGGAAATTTATGTCATCACTGCAGAATCATCGTAGCTGAAGGAACTCTGAAAAAGGGAAAGAGTTTGAGTATGTTTGGGGTGAAATGAGCTGTACAGAAGATAACACCATTTACTGTGAAATCGTGTCAGTGTTTTTATTTTTTATACAGAACCTTTTTACTGAACTGTGCTTTTCTATGACTTTATCTCAAAGTTGCTTTGAGAGCTCCTTCAGGATTGATTTCTTAACTAAATGTCAGACTGAAGGACCTCATAGTGACAAAAGTATTTATTCTGAAATAATGTGAATCACGTTTTTGCACACAGAGGACACTTAACTAATTGTGTAGCTTGTTAAAATAGTTGTGTGTACTTAAATTCATTTAGGTTTGGAACAACAAAATTTGAATTCTTGGCATCCAGTCCACTTTCATATTAATTATCTATTTACTTTTGTTTTTTTTTGCCTTTGAATGTGAGGATTAGGTTGTGTAAATTCCAAATATTAATTGCTACGTCAGCAGCACAGTAGCACACTGTTTAGGATTGCTGTCTCACAACACTGCGGCCCTGGGGTGCTATATGTGTGGACTATATATTTTCCCACTTTGTTCATGTGCTCTGGTTTCCTCAAGCAGTCTGAAAACATGCTGGGAGGTAAATTGGTTTCTGGGAAAATTGGCCATGATAGATAGATTGGTGAACCATCCAGGGTGTATCCTACCTTGCACCTCTTCCTTGCCACCCCATGACCCCGTACTGGATAAAGTGGATGTATGGATTACATACATTTAAAGCAGCAAAACAAATCTTAACCAGAGCACTCAGGAGACTGCACCCTCCTCCCATTCACACTATACTGACTGGGAATGCTCATATGCTCAGTAATGTGTCCGAATAGAAAAGTATGAAACTTCATTGTTGAAAATGTCTCAGTTTTTAAAAATGCAGTGGAATATTGTAAAATGGCTAAAATTTTCTCTATTACTGTCTTCATTAATTTACTGCATTTTGGTGCATCTTATAGGACTAAAAAATGAAAATGATAAATACTGTGTTAAATAACAAATGTTACTGAATTATGTTTTTAATACATTAGTAGATTTAAGATACGATCTAAAGGTAAAAGGTAATGAAAACTGTTTTAGAGAAAAAATAATCAAAAAATGACTTTTCATTGAATTTGATATTAAACATTGAATAAAGAAAATTGTTTTTGTACACTGAAAACTGTTATAAATTCAAACCTGCAGTGCAAAGACAGTTCCAGAAGAGGTGCACAGATTTCTCTTTGATACAGGACTGAGGAATCTGTATGGTCCAGCTCCAGACATGAAGTTAAGATCCATTATTTTACATAGTTTTAAACTTTACTCTTTACAGTCCTCATAATCTTTCTTTTCAGTCCGCATGCCTTTCTTTGTTCAGTTTCCATTCTGTAGTCTTAGTAACCCAGATCTTTGTGAAGGGAAATTCACTTCAGCTGAAGTTACTCAGCAGAGCCACGAGGTCCCACAGCTCCAACAGTCCTCAAAGTTCCTCAATACCAGAAAGAAGTCACTGGATAGATTGCGTGCCTGGGCTGTTTAAGCAGGTGAAACCTGTTCTGCTTGTTTCTGTTCTGACAGACAGTCAAAGGCATCATCCAAGGGTAGCAAGATCAAAACAAAACTGGACCAATCACAATTTGTACAGTTTCAAAGCCAATCTGTTTGAAACCATTGATGCAAAATAACAAAAATTAGGAACAGTTAGATTTCTCATCAGTGTTGAACAACGAAATCATGAAATATTAGTACTAATTTTATATGAGTATAAAGTGCTTTTAAGTGTTGAAATGTGTAGCGGAAAAATAAATGTCTGGTCTGTGTCTAACCCTAGCGTCTTTCTTCCTCTGCCTTACAGTGGTGTGTCTGTTCAACTTAGGTTAAAAATGACAGAACAAGGTTCAGGGTTCAAAACAAACAAAGCAGGTGTGGTGGCACCTCAAAACATAAAGAAAAACCAACAACTTTTAAAATCCAATTTAATATTTAATTCAATTCAAGTTGTATTATCTCCTTGGGGAAAAAGGGCGACAGCTGAATAGGTAAAAGCTAGGATGGTGTATTGGGTGAGATACAAAAAGCATTGTGGTGTAAGAGAAGGAGACTTCTGTGTGTTTGATTAATAGTTATCAGTAAATGACTATTGGCAAATACTATGAGAAACTATTCATATTGACCTGGACTGTGAATGACCTTTTTCTGGCTTTAAATACACTTTAGATTCAGCACACTGAAATAACTTTGCTATTTAATTTTGTTTTACGAAAAATCTGACAGAAATTTTGACTTGGCGAAGAAGTCAAGACCCTGTGTGGAACTAACGCTGTGTGACACAAACCCTGTGTGAGAATAATCCTGAGTGGCATTTATACTTTGAGGATTTGAAACCAGTAAACCAGTAACAACTACCGGTGTTATAGGGAAAGACTTCATTGAAGAAGTTACTTAGCAGCTCACACAGGAGCAAGGCTTTTGTTTATTTTGGTTTGTGGTGTTTTGTTTGACTGCTCCACACTGTACAGTATTATAATGAAGAGCCCTGGGTTTTGATCCTTACAGTTTTGTCTGGATCAGTCTGTTTTCCTATACCTGCCTTTGTTTGAGCAGTCAAACAAAACACCACAAACCAAAATAAACAAAAGCCTTGCTCCTGTGTGAGCTGCTAAGTAACTTCTTCAATGA